TGAATATAAGCATTTTCCTTATGGCTTTACTTATTACAAACATATTCTTTCAACATCATTACACATTGAGGCCCCTCTCTTAGGTAAAACGATCTACCTTAAATTTTCTTTCTTGAGTTTGGGACTATGTGTTATAACTTAGAAGGCAAAGGAGAGCAAGCAGAAGTTTTAACATTAAACAATGCGCGCGAAACGCGCGAACAATTTTTGTTTTTTTCAATTCTAATTTCGTCGGAATTGATCAAAACTCCCTAAAATGTGCAATTTTTTTAGAGGAAATTGGCCTACCTCAACAAAATATGCGATTTAAAATTTGAGATTTTCTAGCACTTTCCCGGGTGAAAAGGGCATTAAATGGGGAAAGATTTTCCACAGATGGATATTTTCCCCTTGTCCCCCGGTAGTTTCGCCAATGGAGAAGGGGTTGCAGGCCGGGGTATTGTGATATCTGTTCATTATATCTTCCTTTTTATTCTTGTCTTTATTTTTCTCTTCTCTTTTCTTTTCCTTTTTCCTTTCTTTTTCTATCCCCTTCTTTCTCTTTCCCTCCCTCTCCCCTCTTTCTTTTCTCTTCTTACCCAGCCCGGTACGACGGCTTGGTCAGCAAGGTAAAAACCGCCACTGGACAGTCTGCCCCCTGGCCCTCCGCCTGTTACGCCACTGCTTAAAAGATGAATGGGAATATGAATCATGCAGATCTGGAATCAAATCTAGGTGGTGGGGTCAACATTCCTCCCCCGGGAAAATTTAGATTTCTAGATGGCGGGAAATGACCTTTTCCGCTGGTGTCGGAAAATTTATTTGTGTCTACTGGGCTAAGAATTAACTATAAGGCCCCACCCACTCTTGACCGTCACCATCAATACACTGTACACAATAACGTAACACATGATCAGATATAGTGTGATTCGGTCGTGATTTATTACGACAAAAGGCAAATAGACCGTCGCACACGATCGGTCCCTAAATTAATTTCCATAGTAAAAATTCTTAAAAAGTGGCCAACAAGCCAAGCGGAGTTTTCTCGACTTTTGAGCTAGGTGTCTAATGACTTTGTTCTTCAAAATTCAAGGTTTTCCCCCTCATGAAAACGGTAAGGTAAACTTTCTCACTATGGTAAATAGGCCTGTTATGTGTGTATACATACATTTAAAAAAAATTGAGTAGTTGCATACGATTTTTTCCATGAGATGAATCCCAAAAAGAAAGGAGGGTCCGGGGTTCTTCCCCAGGAAAATTTTGATTCCTAGAAGACGGGAAATGAGCTTTCCCGACTCGGGAAGTCGGGAAATCTCATTGTCCACCATTTAAAAATCAACGTTTTCCCGGAAAGAAATCGAACCTCCCTTTCTCTGGGTTCATTGATTCATTATAATAATTTTCAAGAGGGGAACACCTTGAATTTTGAAGAACTTAAAACTTAAAAGAAATTAAGTTCTTCAAAATTCAAGGTTTTCCACTCTTCCAACGGTCAGATAATTTTTTCCCATTGTTATTATGTGTGTATACATACATAAAAAAGATTGAATAAGTTGCATACGTAGTTTTTCCATGAATCGATAAATCCCAAAAAGAAAGGGGGGGGGGTAGGTCCTGTGGTTCTTCCCCGGGAAAATTTTGATTCCTAGGTGGCGGGAAATGACTTCTGTGGTGTCTTTTAATGACTTTTAAATTCTTTAAAATTCAAGGTCCCCCCTCCTTGAAAATGATTCAATAAATCAATGAACTCCAAAGATAAAGGGGGTCCGGGTTCCCCCGGAAAAATTTCGATTTCTAGATGGCGGGAGATGAGCTTTCCTGACTTCTAACATACCGTTTAGACCACAGGGGCCCGGACGATATCATTAAGGATCTAAGCCCTGTCTCTTATACACATCTAGATGTGTATAAGAGACAGATTTTATACAGCCGGTGTTATGTATTGACCTAGGCTACTATGGCTAATGACAGGTACGCTTTCACCATTAAAGGCTTTTTCTATGAATGGAATGACCTGTACGAAACACGAGCTCCTGTAGACCAAACCCAGTACCGTTACGATTTTAATCGTACGGGAAATATCCTCAAAATGGCTTCTAAATTCTCAATGTCGCAACTCTTTATATATATGGCTCTGCCGTATTCTGGACAACAGCGCCCCCATACAGCCCGTATTCTGGACAGCACAACCCGTCTCGATAATGATGGATCCTCCACTTCGTGCCCTTCAAATAACACACTTTGAACTGCTGTCGGAACATATGTGTGCGCCCAACTGAGAAGTAGTTCTACTGATCGTTGGTGCGAATTGATATGCAAGAGTGAGTAAATCGGTTTCGAAATATGGCGAGCCGAATTGTCGTTTAAACGCGAATGATCTAATCTTATCTCATGGTTGAACACTATGAAGATGTACATCAGGTATTTTACATCCCAATACCCAGCCCCATAATGGTCGGTGCTGATGAGCTGAGATGAATAAAGGTTAGGGATGTAAACTCTAAATCGCTGGAAGTAGCACCCTTAGACTTCAACTTCAAAAAGTGTCATAATTTAACTTTTTAAGGATGTGGTAACACTAGATTCCCAGATAAGGAACCCTCATACCAATAACTCCATGCTTATAGAACAATTTCCAACGGTTCTTATTTTGACAGAAATATGTTCAATTTTAATACTACAGCAGACAATCTTTTTGTGAAATTGTGAAAAATAACCAGCGTTCCTAACGAAATCAGATGAAAACTGGAAGACTGATCTTCATGCAAACATAAATGTGTGTAAAATGGAATATGTAAGCAATGTAAGTCATCATAAAAAAATAACCCCCCAAAAATATAACTGTCAAATAACCCTTCACGATCCCTCCGCATCCGCATCCTCACCCCACCCACCCCTCACCTACCTACCAACCCACCGACTCCCCATCTGTCCCCACCACACACAAATAATGCATGGATCTAAGCCAGATGGCCAAAACCCAGTTAGTCGAATTAGAGTTTGCCGAGTCCACTATACCAAAAACCCAGTTTTCCTTATATCAGTTTGTCGACTCAAAATCCATGAATCCCAGATTTCCGAAACATTTTTTTTGCCGAAAATCAATTAAAAACTGTGAAGCATTAACGACAGCATAACATTCACATTGGAGAACTCTCTTACCATGACTGTATTTGTAAGATGTGTTGGCGCAGCTGAAAAATCAGGACTGGCCAGAATTGCAACATTGAAGGGATACGATGCTTAATCCTTCATTTCATTTAATTTTATTCCTAATTTTAACTGATAACCACGACTTAAAGTGTGTTTTCTTACAGCATTGTTGTTTTCCATTACTTTGCCCTTTAATCTATACATAAATACGGTTCCTCCCTGACCGGTGGGTCATCTCTTCAAAAGCACAGTAGGCATGCTTTACTCTTGTAAGACGGAGACGGCATGATTCGGCAAACTGGCTTTCGGCAGACTGGGCTGTCATGATTTTGGTGAACTGGATTCGGCAAATTGGGTTTACTTAGTTTAGATTAGTGTTAGTGGCGCAGCTTTTTCAGTTATTGGCACCGATGGTTTTAATAGCGAAACTAGAACTACTCGGTGCTACTGCAATCCATGGTTTACCACCCCATTCTTTATGTGCTTATGCTGGAGAGTTGTGGTTGTGATTGTACTTACAATAGGCTTAGACCTACATCAAATAAACATATGACGAAAACATTTTTTAAATTATAACTTTATTTTTGTTACCACCATTCAATAGAAAATGGAATTTCTGACTGAAATTGTTGAATAAAGAATAAAATGAATTTAATCTAATTTTTGCCAGAAATGTAAAATGTGGTTGGCCTCCTGATCTCACGTGCATTCCAAAGACTCATAACAAACCCTATTTTCAAAAGTTAATTGTTTAAGTCTTTTTACAATTATAAGAGTGATTATTTTTCTATAGAATAACAAAAATAATAGCGTTTGTAAGCTAAAAAAAAAATTAGTGTCTTATATAATGGAAAACCGCCTAAAGAATATTTATAAATTCGGCCAAAGATTTCAGCATCATTTAGCGGCAAAATTTGATAACTTATTTTTGAAAGACGTTCTTGTAGGTTAGGTAGATTATAAAGGGTCATATTCCAAACAACATTACAGAACGTTTAACAGAACCACTTTGGTTTAATTGTTTTAGGATCCATAAATATGTTTTTATTCAAACTGGGATGCAAAGGAAATAAGGTTTGTCTGCAATGCCGTAGCCAGGATTTTTAAACAATGTGGGACAATATCAGGGTCGACCAACTTTACACTTACATTTAAATAATGTGGACCCATTTTCTTAAAAGTTATCCCATTTTACGCAAAAATTTGAATAATCTGAACCCATTTTTTTAAAAGTTGACCCATTTTACTAAAAATATGAGACATCTGGACCGAATTTTAAAATGTGGACCCATTCTTTGTTGACAAAATAGAAAAATTGTGTGGGACTGTCCCAATTCTCACACAAATGCATTGCAAATTGGCATTGTTTGTCAACGACCTTCTTAATGAGAAAGGTAATTTTTTAAGTTTCTAAATACATTTAACGTTCTATCAAATTTTAATCAGTATAATTTTATTCAATAAAAAATCGAATAAAATAAAAATAGAATTTTATTCAGTATAATTTTATTCAATAAAAATTGAATAAAATAAAAATAAAATAAAAATCAAATTTTATTCAGTTTAATTTTATCCAATAAAAAAAATCGAATAAAATAAAAATAGAATAAAATTAAAATCGAATTTTATTCAGTATAATTTTATTCAATATAATTGAATGATTAATTAAATTGCTTTAAAATGAACTGACTGTTATTATCGCAGTGTGTAGACGTGAAATTCTGAGAAATCCTTTCACTTTTAAAACTCTTTTCTCTCAAAATAGACTCTTTTGTTCCCCGCAACGTTCTTCGTATTCTTTATTGCTATCTCATTCTCCCCTATCTGAGCTCTGTCTCTTATACACATCTAGATGTGTATAAGAGACAGTATATGAACTGAAGAACAAGACTACACTTTTATTTGCTAGATCTTTCATCGTGTTATTTGAATCTGAGGCAGTTGCGGCGTTCTAAAAAAAGAAATTATAATAACAATAACAGTATCAATAATTATCAAGATAACGATAAATATTTGATAGCAATAATCATAATAATGATGGTGATGGTAATAATATTAATAATATTAATTAACAATAATATTGTTAACATAAAGTTAACAACGACTATACTAATTGCTCATTTGTGAATATATATTTAAAGACACTCAAACTAAGTATATATTTATATTTACCAATCGATTTGAAAGTAAGATGCACGAAAGCCGGTGTACTCATAGTTGGCGTTGCTGTTAAATGTCACTGTAGCTTCATTGGTTTGTGACGTCCATCGCAGATTGTAAATTAACCCACAATAACGCTTGCTTAAACTACCGCTTGATACCTACAAATAAAAATATTTAAATGTTGAATGTTAATTTTTCATCACTTTGCCCACCTCCCGCTTAACGTCACTCCCCCTCTGTCACTCATTCCCTCAATGCTAAACCTGTAACACCTCTTGGCTAAATTCCGAAAACTTTATAAAACTTTTTTCAGGGTTAGTCTGTGGTTTTGCAACCGAAAGAAAAAGTGAAATTATAGAGCAGAGTTAAACTGTACGTTAGAAGTGGATCACGTGGAACACTGGTATGTGTTGAAACTTAGTGTCTTTGGAAGTTTTTAATTAAATATCTCTTCCATTCAAATAAAAGTTATAGCCAACTTTATTTTTTTAAGATGAGACATATTATAGGCTATTAGCATTTACAACAAGGCCAACAATAGTGCATGACACTCTTCGTAAAAGTCCAGGAGTAGTCGGTCCGATATGTTGCCACACCACACTCAATATCTACCAACGCCAAACCAACGACATGCCATGCCATAACAGACGTGATAGAAAAAGCGGACACATGAAGGAAAAAAGAAGAAAATGGCGTGGAATTCTTTCTCTCTCTTATTGTATTAAGGCCTTACAAGGCACAACCTCTGAAAACAACAACAGTAAGCATAACGGTCGCTTGAACAAGAATATAAAAAAAAGAATATCAATCTAGCATAGTACATTTGATTTGAAATATCCCTTTACATACCACCAAAATGGCTTACTGTTTTTAATTCACTTTTTACTTAAATGCACACTAGGACCGCTAAAGTGATATTAATTCACCATTGTCAGGAATACAAAATAAGTGGTAGGCCTACATATATTTAAGATATTTCATTTTTCAGGTAAAAATATTTCATTTTTGAAAGTCTTAACGATTTTTAAAACTTAAGGCTACCTCAATAAAATCACGTCTACAATTGAAATCATATTCAATGAATACGAAGTTAAACGTTATCCGTATGCGCTTTCCAGGTGTCACTCGTATCTGTGTTGTACACCTGCTATTCGGGGGGTAATTGTTAGGATATCCCGGAGAGGAGAAGATTCCTGCACTCTGAGTCAATTGGCCGCCACAGCTGACACCTAAGGAAGAAGAATAACCTATTCTAATCGTTATTAATCTAGAAATGTTTACATAACCTCAATTTCAATGCTACATTACTATTTTATTATAAAGTAAGTAATATTTATTGCTTTCTAGGAAATCTTTACTAAGAAAAAACAAAACAAAATCAGAAAAACTTCCATAACCCCACACCACATTTAATAACATGGAAAACAGAGAGTAACCCTTTAAGGTTCAAGTACGTAGGCCCTCGTTGGGTTCAGTGTAAAAACAGCGTAGAGGATTTAAACACAAAGCTCCACGCAATGTTGTCCTGTCTTTGGTGACACGTTTAAAAGCTGAACGTGTTTAGACATAACTTAATGTGTTTATGATATTGACGTGTTTGCATTAAATGTGCTTATGTATTTGACATCATGATGTCAAATACCTAAGCACATCCAATGCTAAACACGTCAGGAACATAAACACATTAGGCCTGGCCTACACACGTTTAGCTTTAAAACGACAACATTGCGTGGTGCTTTGTGTTTAAATGTTCCACGCTGTTTTTACAGTGTACCTGAAGTGGGACATGGAGATCTGACACAGCGCTGTGTGGTCGGCGGTTTTGTCGCAAATGGGCATTGTATTGGGTCCAAAATGACAGAACTTGTTGAGTCTGGTCTACACGTCACATCCCTTGTCTCTTGCCCCTCGCCACAAGTGACCGAACACTATATTAACAAAAAACACAATTTGTTTGTAAATCCTACAAGTATAGAATAAAATGCTATTGTTGCTACTGTTCTAACGTTTTTGACAAATATTTTTTTGTAAATGCTTTTTTAAGTCTGGGTTTTTGGGTTTCCATAATATCTCTACACTGACGCTTGTAGAGTGTATTCACATGCAAACGTTACACTGCGTAGCAATCCTAGGCGTCCAGATTCGGCCAACCAATTAACGTTGCCGAGATCTGTCGGCGATAGCTTTAGTGCATATGATATCTAAACAGAGTGTATTCTACATTTTCTATTATAAATGAAAACGTGTCGAACACCCAAAGACCCAAAATGTGTAAATTCCTTACTTCATATTGTCCAAATACCCAAACATTGGAAGAGCAGGCATTCGTCTGACATTTTTGGTACACGTCTGGTTTGTCGTCTTGACATTCGGAATCTGGAACAATATAATTATTTTCAACGCAAATAACATAACGTCGTTGTTGACAGTTAGCTGAACATGGACCCCATATACTCGTCAACCAAGAGGCAGATCTACATGTCACAAAACAAATTCTGCTTAAAATGGGCTTTGCATCACTACTGCAGTACGTGTCAGAAGAAGGAACGCCATTTCTGATGCACTCAACTTCCCTTGTTTGAACACCGTATCCACAAGTAGAAGAACATGTCCCCCAGTTTCCAATCTTCCACAGTGCCGTCGAGCAGTCGGAGCCTATACAAGACTGTGTTGTGTCTGGTTTGAAGTTCGTGCAGTCGCTATCTGGAAGTATTTTTTGTTGACCGTTGGTCTGCATTGCACAGAATACCTCGCGAGTTTGAAATCCACCTCCGCATACGACAGAGCAGGCGCTCCAGTCACCAATTTTCCATGATGGGCAGAGTTCACCAGTACACGATCTGGATGAAACAGGTTTGTTGGCAGCATCGCACTCACTTTCCGCAATGGGGTCTTCAGATCCAACTCGGACTGTCGATAAACACTGCACACTTCGTGTTTGGAAACCGGTGCCACAATCCGTGCTACAATCTGACCAACTACCAGTACTCCACCTTTCAAGAAAAAAAATGTTATACTGTGTGTGCACATACATTGAGTGATGCTTGATCGTACTTGAAATTAGGTGTACTATCACTAAAAATAAAATCAATAATGTATATTTTTACACACATACCTTGTTGGACAGCTTTGCAAATAGCAGGACCTATCTCCGGGTTGGATAGGTTTAGTGATGATGTTGCAATTTACATCAGCTACTTGTATATCTTTAATATCACTACGGCAGATGATATTTGCCACCTGAATACCTATATGGAGAAACAATGCGCAATAAGAGCTGCATGCAACAGACAAATCAAAGTCAGCTACATGACATCAACAATATAATAAATCCGTCATATCGATATACAGTACAATAGCCTACTAGTCAGACCAGTAACCCGGGGTTTTCTGTGGTGTGAATGAACCTCTTTTCGAGAGAACCATACTCCAAGCTAAACTAAACCACTTCTTCCCTTTCAAGAACCATCAAAAGGATGATGAAATTCACCAAGTGCTAGAATGCTTCAGCTCTACGGAGATTCGCCCCTGATGCTAGGGGCGGCGCCAGGGATTCCCCGACGAGGGGTCCAGCTACCTGACAAGGAAGTCCAAGTTCCCCGACAAGGGCTCAAGCTCCCCCCCCCATCGGGAAAGCCTACCCCCCGAGGAGAATTGTGTTGATTATGGTATTCTTTATTTAACAAAAATGGACTTCTGACTATCATAGGAAACCCCTTTAATTATTCGAGATCCTGATTATGAACCTGTAGGTAATAATGCAGATAACGGTAGTCCTTTACGCACCATTACGCGATGATAAATAAATACCGGTATCGATTATTAAGTTGTTACAATTAATAAGAATGCTTATGTAGCTCCAAGTATAACTTTAAAGGCACACATCTTTTGAAATAATAGTTCGTTTGGTTATTGATCACATTTGTTAATGGACCCTGTGAGTTTCAGACAACTGTGTGCATTTCTGGAAGAGGTTCGGACCTAGGGAATTTTTCCTTGCTTACAAATATTTTACAACCAAGCACAGTACAATTTATTTTACTGCATGAACTCACCATTGCCACATGTCCTGCTACATGATGAGAATACAATCGCCCAACTGAATGTTACCGTATCACCGCCGCCGCCGCCACCGCCACCACCACTGTCTGCTGGAATACACAGACCTTCTATACACCACTATAATAAAACAAAAACTTGTTACAATACAATTTGTTTTACAGTTTAAATGGAATTTTAATTGGTTCTTCGGGATATTTACAGGAGGCATTACTTCAGTAAGGTTTTGGAAGAAATATCTAATTGAAGCATTTAGTTGTTGGTATGTGTGTTGTTTGGCGTTGAAATATTTTATCAATTAATAAGTAATTCGATGTTTTAGAAGAATCTGTGAGGGGCTGAGTCTTTCCTGAATTTACTACAAATCGTATAATCATGTTTAGGCCTAAGGATTTCTAAAGTAAATAGTAGTCCTACAGTATGTAAAGCAGCGAAAACTGAATTTGTTATTTTTTTTGTGTGTGTGTGGGCCTGATTACAATTTTACGACAGACATTATCTGTTATGTTTTTACCATGTTTGTACCGCAAGTTGAGCCATCGAGCATAGGAGTATTGCGCGTCCTACAATATGACGCAGAGGTTGCGCACCAGAGTGCCTCACAGTTACTCTAAAAAATAAATACAGTAATTGATTATCAACGGTCAAAATACACATTTTTAAAAAATCGATGTAGCTGTAGTAATGAATAGTCCAACTTACAAAGTATGCTAATCATGGAATATAAATAAATATACTTAATTTAACTTTGGTCGAGTAATGAACATAACAAAATAATATAGGACTATTTAAAAAAAAACAATTATGATACAAAGTTTATTTAATAATAATTATGAAAACATTGATATATAGTCTTGACAAATGTTTAGACAAATTTAGTTGGCACGAATTGTTTTAGAATTGGTCTGTCCGAAATAAGTGATAATAAGTGAATTTGAGTCTTACAGATCGCCATTCACATTCTCCGGAGCTGTCAGGAAAACTGAATTGACATTGTACTTTTGGGTCATAAACTTGACCAGGTAATCGTTTGCCTGGTAAAGATAAATCTTCTTCGTTACCTGGTACGTCATCTAAGCATGTGGCAGATCTAGAACTGTAAATGAATAATTAGAAATACAAAATATTTTGACCCAGAGAATGGTTTAAACTATATCAGTTGGACTCAACATTTGCCTTGATCATAATGTCGCACAAGAGACATACGTAAAGCTGGTTTCCATAAAATCGCTACACGCTATCGCCAACATCTTTCTTTGATGTTGATTAGACGGTCGAATCGGGGAGCGTTCCCCATTGCGTGGGGGACTGCTACACAGTACAACGATTGCAATTTAACACTGTAGCGAAAGTGTAGCGATTGTATGAAATCTGCTTTATTTTATTCAGAATAATGAAACCATTGATTTTTTTTAAACAAATATTATTGATTAATTCACAACATTTTTTCTAAGCAGTATAGTAATAAAAGATAATGTGTGACTTAATTTAAACCTGGTTACCTTTAGCTCTCATAATCTAATGGTTCAAGGACTTGCCTTTTTGTGAGTGTTATTGATGGCAAGCTATTTTAACCTTAGGGGTAAACACTCGTTATATTATACAAAGTATTATTGTTTATCCTTATGAACTCACCTAAGAAATTCTTGTAGAAAATTTGCGCTGCATGATGACCATTTGAAGGAACCAGCCCCACTCGGCGTTGAGGGCGACATAATGTTCACTCCCGTCTGACATGTATTCCCAGTGCCGTCATGCGACATTCCAAGACTAAACCATAAGAAGATATTAATGAGCTGATATGATTTTACAATATTAGTTTAGTTTATTTATTTCAGTAAAGAAGTACAGTACTGACAGTTGAAAATTGGTTTGAGATAAACATATATATCTGTCTCTTATACACATCTAGATGTGAGGATCAGTTGCCTGACGATCGCAATAGCGTGAAACTCCGAGTAGCAACATTCTGTTCCAGCGACCTCCAGTTCTATATATATATATATATATATATATACAAAAGGGCTTGTGAGTTGTGGTTATGTAATGTTCTAATCCAACTTACTTATGGCCTACTTCATGAGCCAACGTAAAGGCTAGCCCTAGTCCCGTGTCCTCACTGAGTGAGCATCGTCGATACTCATTACACGTTGAGCTGATGCTGGCGTAACCGATGGTTGATGATGAGCTCCCTGCTATGTCATGTCTAATATAAAAGCAAATAAAAAATGATGTATTTGCTTTTCTTAATGGAAGATCTAAAACTAATACAAACAAAAGATGAACTATTTATAAAAAATCTTATTTGGAATATCATCAGAAACCGTCCTTGCGCATTTGAATGCCTCCTTGTCAGTAGAAACAGTAACAATGGTACACAGTAGGCAATGAACCGTACCGCTAAGCCCCGCCCTTCCCATTCAGGGTAAACGTACGCATGTGTATGTGGGACATGTGCGTATTTCTGGCTGTTAAATAGAACGTTGTGATTGGTCAGTTATTAGGTTTGACATTCCGTAATGGTTCAATACAGTGATTTTTACCTCGTGAGAACAGCTGCGCTGTCTACATTATAACGCGTTCGTTGCCATGTGCAAAATCTATCTAGGCTTGCTCTTGCATCCGTTGAAAGTGCCGGACCAAACTGAAAGAAACATTTTAGATTGTAAGTAAACCGTTGTTGAAAACTAACATCTATGTAATCGTAAAGGTAAACTTCGTTCATCACTTACTGTTGGGTCAGTAACGATGACCAAATGCGTTACATGGGTTATCATGCTAACACCTAAACTTGGATGACGATACAAGCTTGCAAACTTGAACAAACAAGAAAGAAACATGTTATCACTTACGGTACTAAATTAGTTTGAACCACACTAAAATTACTATAATATTGATACGCTTCTATATTAGTTATGCGAAAATTTAGATATCGAAAGGTAATACTTACCATATTAAGTATAAGCGTAACGTATTCTTCTGTTCTTTCTCCATGATATCGAAACATTTCGTAATCAACCAACACCAGTAATTCAAGGTGCTTTTCACCACCCGTCTGTTCTTCGTATCGGAATGTATTATCTAATTGAATGTAAATTATTCAAAGAAATTGAAGAAAAAATTTGATTCGTGTCCTCCGTATTGAAACAAACGGAAGCTGAGCCGGCATTTTCCCATGTTAATGACTGTGTAACAATGAAAAATGTAAGCTACCGGTACTACTAGAGCGTTTTCGCTCACTGTATGTAATCTTTGATAGCTAAAATTAGGTTAAAAAAAGGACTACGCAATAGCTGCACTGAAAATGAGCTTACTTTTGAATGTTTCACTCGATGGTGACGGTGAAACCTCTCCTTCATATACATCTTCAGAATTTTCCACAGAACAATGGTTAATGGCATCGAATTTGAAAATAATATGTCCGCCAAATTCGTCACTGCTTCGTCGTAAGCGAAGCTTTTCAACATGTTTTGGTAGTAAACGACGAATGAGATAATCTTGATCCCCGGTGTTGATGTATCCATTCTTTAAATAAAAAAGTGATGTGAATGAACGCTTTATACCAAGGCATTACATTGTTACATAAAGTTTTTTTTTAGTTTTAAAATCACGAACGACGCATTATCTAATTTATATTTTGAACATTATGTTACACAATCAATCCACAAAGTCCCTATTTAAATTCTTAGTGGTATTATTTTGTTTTTGAATACTTCTGAATGTTATTATCTAATTAAAAAAAAACACAATCAATCAACCAGTCAATACAATCTCTCAATGTTTGGCACTAAAGACGATGACAGGCATAAAACAATTTAATACTCACATTAATATTATTATTATTATTATTATTATTATTATTATTATTATTATTATTATTATTATTTTAATCTTAGAATGATATTGATCAATATCTTTTTTTCTGAAATTATGATTTACTAAAGACCCAACACAATATTACTGGAATTGAATTCCAGAAAAAAATATCCATAACGCAATGGTATAAACAATATAGGGCTATCATTTTGTTTAAAGACTTACTATTCCTTGGCATGTTGATATAGCAGCGACCGAACTGTTGTGTTTTTCAGAGTATCCGATATAGTGGCAGTCAGCAGAAGTCGGAGTATGGAGAGTGCTTCCGTTAACACCGATTTTCTCAATCACTAGACTTGATGGGAAAAGGTCTGTTGGTGATAATTGCTATTGTTATGCCATTTTCCATACGATATTTAAATTCATTAAGTTTGAAATCTCCCTTGGCATCAAAATGACTTAAATGGCATTACAGAACCTTCCATGCGAGATAAACTATTAATATCATAGAATACAACTTCTATTCAAGCGATACATGCGAAACTAAAGTCAAGTGCGCTTTTGTTCAAATAAATAAATCGGCAACCGATGTCGTTGCTACTAATTCTAGTGATAATATAGGCACATGGACCTATAGGTTCATGGTAGGCCTTTGCAATAATATGTTCAGCTAGGAGCATTACAAGATTATTAGCCATAATTCTTACCGATGTTAAGCTGAAGTTTAAGATGAAAGTCATTCCCAAAAGCATTGAATTTTACTTCTTTTTTAGGCAGGTTAACTGATCGTCTGCTGTTATGGATTTCGTTGATCTGCACCGTAGTAGCAATATCAAAATCAGAAACTAAATATATTTAAATAAAATAATGCATGCATTATCATTAAGTGGTATAAATATGATTTCAGACTAGAAATATTTATTTAATTTAAGTGGAACTTGTATGCAGCATGATACAATTCAACACTACGAGTATAAAATGATACTCTAAATGTACCAGGTATCGGATTCGAACCCTCGATAATTGTGGTTGAAAACAAAACGCTTTAAATTTGCTATAAAACGTTTCTACTTTATCGGATCGGAAGTTAATTCTACCATAAAGTAATTAACCAATAGTTATATCCTGCTTATCATAAAAAGTATTTTACTCCTCCATTAACAACCAGAGCTTTACTAACCAGAATCAATGTTTTCCGTTCCTAGGTAACCCATGACGTCTCTTTTAGACAGTGCCCTACCCTGCAATTATAAATCACATGATACTACTTTTGCTTAATACCAAACTTTGGGATATAAACACACAGGCGAGAGAGTTTTAAATGCTAAAAAGTTTTTTGTTTCTTTACAAAGTTCCGGTGATTTCGAATGCACATTATTAGTGTTAAGAAAAGTCAGAATTGCGTTATTGCCTCTTTACTCTTAACAATATTCAGTACATAGTAGAAATGTTCTTTTGAATAAACACTGTTATGCTCAAACAATATTATGACAGATGAAAACCAATAATTTATATGAAAATGATACTCAACAACAAATGTATATACTGTTGTAATATTATTTGGATTTTACTTTTCCAAATTTTAAAAAAATAAGCTAAATACAAATGTCAACAAAGCCTTAGGATTTGGCATTTATTTTATTATACTGATTTACATTATATTATTTTTCGGTATCCATTGCTCTTAAAATAATTAATCAAGATCTCACTTACCGAAGGTTTACAATGTCCCAAACCGATGGTCACTAAAATAAGAGAGCTGAGAATACCAACGGAATTAGCCATCATAGAAGAAAACCCCTTTCTCTTGAACCATTCAAGAGTTAGGCCTACTACTAACTGAAACCTGCAACTTGGGATGTCATTTTTATATCGTGTTAGAAGTTCGAGGATTTATCTTCGCATTGTTAGGTACGTTGGTGAAGTACACTAGTTTGTTCCATTGTCTGATTGTATTTTTGCTATAATTATTGTATTATATATCTTATACTATTAGCCTACTAATTCTTAGGGTTTGAGGATACAAATCGGAATAGTTACAACTGTTTATTCGGGCAATAACAATGCGTAATCCACCACTTCAGTTTGATTATTAAATGACAGAAGAACTCAAATATTTAATTTGGACATAAGTACTTAACCTAAATGTGAACTCTATCAAGAAAAAATATAATTTAAAACGACCTACAAATAGCCTTTGACAAAAGTTAAAGCCGCCACTAAAGTAAAGTAATAACGCATAGGCCTACCGTTAATATTTATTCACAATAGGCCTAATGGCCTTAAATAGAAAGCTTCCGCTTTTCACTTCCGTTAATCCATTTGCTTCTTTTACCATCGTATACACGTACTACTCCACTTCTTGACCTGTGGCTACTTAGCATTAGGATGCTTAATTAATTCATTCATTCGTTCAATCAGTATGCATTTATTCATCCATTCATTCCTCTATACATCCATCCTTTCATCCTTCCATCTATTCATCCATCCATCTATATATCCATCCATCCATCCTTCCATCCATCCATTCACTCATTCGTTCATTCGTTCTTTCAACCATCCAACATCTATCCATCCATCAATCCATCCATCTATTCGTTTATCCATCCATCCATTTGTCCATCCATCCATCCATCCATCCATCCATCCATTCATTCATTCATTCATTCATTCATTTATTCATTCATTCATTCATTCATTCATTCATTCATTCATTCATTCATTCATCCATCCATTCATCCTTCCATTTATCTATCCATCCATCTATCTATTCATCCATCCGTTAATTCATTCGTTCCTTCAACCATTCATAAATTAATTTATATATTTCTTTGGTCCAATCATTTGTCTGAAGTTGAAACCCGTCTAAAGCAGAAAGGATTTATGTTTGACAATCAGACCCTACAATTCCTTTCCGGTTTTAGTTTTCGACAACCGCAAATACCAAAGTTTTGTTTGTCGTCTTAAAGATGTATCAACGTGGATCTTTCATCTTAATAAAATACAATCAGTTGAAAGTTCGATCTCACTTATATACAGATGTTGATTGTGGTGTATATAAGTATGTTCTTAAAATTCCAAATGGTTTAATACCATAATCATGCATGGTTTTCATGATATGACTGTTCAATTGAATTTTCCTGCAACAAGATATTAGACAGTCATTTCATTTATAACAAGGATTATTTATTATGTAGATGAAAACAAAAGAATAAGTTTAATTAATCTACAGGTGTACGATGTTGTGGTATTTCGATTGTATCGTGCTCTTTCAATACAATAAGTATTTAATTCAAATTTTTGCCATGTAATGATAACAAATATAGTAATAAAAATAATAATAAAATAATAATGATAATGATTATTTTTATTATCTTAATAATAATAATAATTATTATTAATAGATATAAAAGATCGAATAATACAAATAATAATATCTTCACTATCGTTATCACAATGATTATCATTATCATTGTCATCAACACCACCATTACTATCGCCATCATCATCATTATTGTAATCATTATTATCATCTTTGTATATCTGGTAAAGGGCACGGTACACATTTCTGTATTATTATTATCCTCATTACCACCATCATTACCATCATCATCGTCATCATCATCATCATCATGATAACATCATCATCATCATCATCATCATCATCATCATCATCATCATCACCACCAACATCATCACTATCATCATCAATCAATCAATGTGACATTTTCGACCAATGACAACAAAACAGAGAAAACAATGGTGAGGGACCAGTTTAGAAGCCTAGGCTTGTCGCAGCTGTCCCTTTAACGGATACTAATAACTGAAAAGAACAAGGAAAAAACAAAAACAAACAAAGCAAGAAAATAGATCAAAAAAGTACCTATTCATAGTTTGAAATAATTTTTTTTTTAGGAGTTTTCTAAAAGTCATAAGGGTATTTGATGTTTTAGTTTTACTATCAATATCGTTCCATACACGCGGGCCATGGAAACAAATTTAGAGTTGGCTTTTAGTCAGTCTAACAGTCTAACAAACTGAATACGAAGCCTATTACATTGTCTTGCCCGATAGTTATGAACATTACCTGTGAATTTAAATAGATCATTAAATACCTTTGGTAACAGTTCATGGGCATGTCTACACATAAAGCATACTACTCGTACGTTATTCATGTTGTAAATATTCAGAAGATTATGTTGATGAAAAAGTGGCTCAGTATTGCACCTATGGTGATGATGTAATGATACAAATAATACTTTTTAGGAGGTTAGGGCCTATAGCTTAACAAGGTAAGTAGGATAGTCACTTCTTCATATGATATTTCTATTCTGAAAGTAAGGAAAAATTAAGGTATTGTAAAGAACAAGTAATATATTCCTATAGGAAATTCTGTTTGACTCTGCAAATTACCGTCCTCCTATCGATTTAGGAATTTTCCTTGCAACCGAGTCAAAGTGCATTTTCCAGTTAATATGTTCATTTAAAATTTTAAAATTTTAAATTTTAAAAACATTAAAAATTTCTTTCCTTTGAACTATTGCTTTACCATTAATTTTCAGATAATTGACAATTTCAGGGCATTTCTTCTGATTTGGACGGAAAATTACATAGTTAGTTTTGGTAATATTTAACAATAGTTTGTTAATGCTGAGCCAATCGAATACCTTTACAAGTTCATGGTTTATGTCAGTTAACAGCTGATCAAGATTATCACCTGACAGAAAAAACATTTGTATCGTCAGCAAAAGACAACATCATCACTCCCATCATCGTCGTCGTCATCATCACCATCATCATTATTGTCCATAATTACCACTACCATTATTTTCATGATAGATCACAACTTATCAATATCTCATTACAGTAGTTAAATACATAATCATCCTTATTATTGAGTTCAATAACCCAAAGTTAAGCATAGAGTCTTCACTTATGAACACAGCAGCTAGTCGGGAAAGGATCCCGGCTTACCTGAAAGACAGTGTTGTCATTAAGATTACAGTGATATAAATCGTTGTCTAACTAATACACACGAATGGACATTATGTGAAGTGTATCCGTGTGTATTAGAGTTTAACTTATAATACACACGAACTGACAATGATTGAAGTGCTTAACCCCCTGAAAAGCACCGACACTTGTGGTAAATTCAATTAAAATACATAAAGATATTGAAATGTGGACGACTTATCAATAATTGTAGTTTTAGATCTACAGACTCTAGCTGACTGAATGTTTAAACATTTTCTGAAAAGATTTTGAAGTTCTGTAAAATGTTACTTTGAAAACCACCATTGTAAGATCCGTTTATTTTATTTTATTTTATCTATTTTTTTTATTAAACTTTATTTACCAAGGGTAACCAAAAACAGCGCTTAGCTGACAATCATAGGGCCCTCGCGTAAAAAAAAACAACAAAATACAAAACAACGACAAAGCAAATTAAACAAATAAAAGGCCAAAATACAACAATATTAATATATTAAAATTCAATTAAAATCAATGAATTCAAAAAATATAAATAGAAAAATATGCGTTCAATATCAACTGTCAGAGATGATGAACAAAAAATTGTCTGGCAGTGACGAGGAAGATTATAATTTAATAACAGTAAGCCTATTACTAATGTTCACATAAGCAAAGATCAAGTACTTTTTACTCCGTTACTTGGGAATTGATAAAGAGATCCTGTCTCGTCGTTTCTAATGATTTAAGTGCGCAGAATTCTGGTCCCTATTCACGTGGGTACTTTGAGGACTAGTGCTGTTCCGTAATTTAAAAATGTGAATATAGCCTATATATTTGGTGTGCTATTCCGTAAATCAAGTAATATGTTTGTTAATAAAGTTTGAAGTGAATGAATGAACATAAGTATTATAACAACAAACAAAAAATAAAATTGGAGTTGAGTAGCTTAATTCAATTCCTGTGATGGCAGGACTTTTTCGCACGACTAAAAACAACTCCACTCACTAAGTCTCAAAAGCATCACGTTCTTTCATGTATTTAAAGGGGTCCCTGAATATCAAACTACCTTCAAGGATACACTGGAAGGTCATACGGTTACACAAAATATACAACAAACAAAATAAAATTGTTGTGGAAGACTTTAATTGTTGTTATGAGTAATTCAAACAAAGTAAACCTGGTTAATCATACTCGAAGTGAATGTTAGGATAGATTTCTATGGTAAGATATATACTACATAAAATACAAAGGATGCTGCATTTATATAGATGACCACAAATGGGTGAGCTAAAGGATCATCAATTACGTGACCATTTATACGTCATTGTTTTCTTCCATTTCTTCTTCAAGTGCGGAACTAATAAACTGTACGCCAGTGTTACCGGTATCAGCTGAAGAAATAAAAAATGAAGTAAATATGAAGATAGGTATGTCTATATCACATGCAGTTATTGATTTTTGTTATTAGTATTTTAATTAAAAGTTTCTTCAATGTTGAAACCGTATATATTTTCAACTTAGGGCATACGTATACATTTGAAAACCGATGAATTTATTGTGTTATCTGTTTGTTGAGCTCGTAACCACTCACCATCTCGTCGGACAATTCTTACGCATGAGCCACTTCTGCACGCCATACCCGAGAGAAGACTGCAATCTGCGTGGCTGGAACAGCTCTTAGCAGTCTAAAAAAAATTTAAAGAACATCGTGTAGTTAGTCATCAATCTGTGCAAATATGAGAGTCGGTCCTAACTGGCTTTATATTATAGGCCTCCACATGTGAAACGGAGTAGGGGATATGTATGCGACTCCCATAAAAGTACCCACAAAGACAATCTCCAATGATGTTAAATCAACGGTAGGGTCGAGTATTTTGGCGCACAACCA